AAACCCTAATGGCTTTCGCCTGTCCTACAGAATTGGGAGTTTAATGCTCTTGAAATCTTTGTTTCCTTTTTTTCCCCTACCATTTTCTATCCCCGAGGAAAACTTATGAAAGAAAAAAGCTAACGCGTCCAAAAAACATCAAAACAGAATGAGATGGACAAAGGACAAGCCAGATCTCTGTACGGTTTCTCCCATTTACTTTGACTGTTTATATGTTCATATTCCAGGATCTTCCGTCCCTTTGTTCGGGATCTGGATACGGCACTGTGAATGTTCTTTGCAACCCAGGACAGAGGCCATTTCCAGCAGGCCAGCCATCCCTTCCCCTCACCTGCAAAGGCTAGGGGCCATGTTTTGAATAGGACCTGGTATATTGAGTTTAAATGATTGCCAGCACCACGCCCAGCCCTCAATTAGCCCGGTAAATCAACCATTCCCCAGGAAATCCAGATAAATAGACCTCTCTCAATACCCTTTCCACAGAAGAGTTGGCTGTCGCTCAAGACTGCAAACCAGCCTCTAGGACAAAATGGGTTAGCAGATCGCCCTTTCGTTCTCTGAAAAACGAACGAGGCAGGGGACCCTTTCTCCAAGCCGACTCGAAAAGCCAAAGCAATACTTAGCACAGTGGGGGAAATTAAAGGGTAATGTAATAACCAAAATAATGAGATCCTTAGCTCTTCATTCATCTCCTTCCAGTTTTGTTTATATACAATTGGGAGTTCTCAGAACCATGTGACATTTTTAGGCACGTCCCTTGGATATAGATATATGCACACGATATGCTTCAATTGCGTAGAAATCTTCTGCATCCTGCTGCTTCCTTTCTTAGGGAGATAAGAAGGCATAAGACATGGCCTTACATCAAGTCCGGCGCTGTCAGTATTCAGCGCTAGCAGACAAGAAGCATCACAGAACCGCTGATGTTGCCTGATGCTCCCCGCGTGCTCCTTGTCTGCCAACAAATTGGGATCGTTAGCCGAACACGTCTCCTCCTCTGGAAGGAAATCGTATTCATGGTCTTTTTTTCCCCCAAAAGCAAAGCAAGAGAACTAGAGCTTATTAAAAGCGATGCATGGAGAGAGGAAGAATGAGAGGCTTCCTTGTTCAACCTAAGGAAGGCGGAGGTACAGGAAGCCATGGTTCCCCCTCATCTCTCAACAACAAAGGGAGGGGGCTTCTCTTTCCCCTCCCAGAGGGGACCAGAGAAGGAAAAGGGAGAAGGCAGTGGCATCAACAAACCAACAAATACCAGCCCAGGTTGAATAGTAGTGAATATATGCCAGAACAGGTAGCGAACAGCTTAAAAAGACCAGATAGGTCCTCTTCTCTAGTCCTTTCCATGCTAAGACCACCCTCTTCTCCAGTATAAAATAAGCTGCACTCAGTTGACTCTGACGCTCAGTATCAAGACAGGCTCAGCATTGGGAAAGATTTCACCTTCCAGATACTCTGGACATGAAGGCTTGTAATAGCAGGGCTTTGCTGTAGAAGAATGGCGGGCGTTACTTTGAATTTGGAAAACTTAGCTTGTGACTATATTCCTGGTCATGCTGGAGAGGGTTTTCTGGAGATGTAATCATGCTCTGCCAATTTGTTTAGTTTGGGGGGGGGGGGGGGATTAGAACTGCCAGAGGTTCACCAACTGCGATGGCCAGTCACCATGCTGGCTACAGGGTTCTGGAAACTGTCTTCAAAAAAATAGTATTTCTGCTTTCGGAATTATTGCCTAAAAGAGACCAGGTTCCCCTTTTTGAAATCTTTAGTTAAAAAAGAAGACGATGCCAATACTTAGAAACTCACATATAGATTGGATATCTGCTCCCAAGGACTGAGGGAGGAGTCCTCACTAGTCTTACGCAAGGATGCTGAGAGCTAGATCCAGGATGCAGCTTTGGTGTTAAAACCGTGTGCCATCTCATTGAGCTATGATGGAAAAGCATGGAATGACACTTTGGGTTGGGTTGGGTTGGCCCATTGGTCTCATTGAGCTATGATGGAAAAGCATGGAACAACACATTGGGTTGGGTTGGGTTGGGTTGGGTTGGGTTGGTCCGTTGGTCTCATTGAGCTATGATGGAAAAGCATGCAACGACGCTTTGGGTTGGGTGGTCCGTTGGTCCTTAAGGACTAATATTGGCAACAACAGGTTTCAAGCAGAATGCTTTTCTACCTGTGGCTGGAGGTGCCAAAGACAGAATCTGAGACCTTAAGCATATCATGTGTGTCAACATTCTGGAGGTATCATCTAAGATGCCTGGACCAGCTTCTCCACCTGTATTTTATGGCATTTCCTATATTTTCTTTATACTATTGTTGATTTTTAAAAGTAGAAAAATTAGAAGTGGGATATAATTTTGTTTTTCTATAAATGAATGGGGATGACATTGTGGAACACCTTACAGTTCCTTCCTCCTTCCTCACTCCACCACCACTAACAAACGATGCCATTTTCTGAAACTTTGATTAGATTCTGCAGACGGAGGTTGGCAGCTAATTTCTTTCAGGTCTTTTGGAAATTCATTATGCAGCAGTTCACCATTGGCTCTGATGTTGCCCAAGCACCCTTCTGTTCATTTGAAGTGTCTTATGTGAATCCTTAACAGGTCTGCCATCTAATTAAAGAAATCTTAGCCGGTTAATCATATGGGTTTTTCATGATGACATGGGATCCCATTTGCATACGAATAAAACTATACCTCAAAAATAATTAGGGAGATTCTTGTCTTTTAGATGATGGAAGCATACATGGGAGCAGACCACCATCTTATGGGTCATCATCATTATCTTAGAACTGCAGAGCCGAGAGGCTCCCTATGGGTCATCTAATCCAGCCCCTGTCAAGAAGGCCCAGAGGGGGAATCAAACTCCCAACCTCTGGTTCTGCAACCAGATGTCTAAACTACCGAGCTATCCAGCAGTTCCTTTATTCCTGTGTTTAAGAAGGTGTGTCTGGCAGGGTTATATCTCTTAATGTGTTGGCTTCCATCCACACTTTTTGTAAATTCTTATTTTGGAATAATTGACCATTTTAAAAAAAAAAACACAAAAATTTGTTGTTTCTTTAATTGGTGCCAGCTTTTTTTTTTCATTGATCATTTTTGAAATTCCTTCATCTACCCATCAGCTAGGCTGCAGCCTTTGGTCTACGTACATCACCTTTCTTGTAAAACATGTTGGGGTGCCAGTGTGCTCTCCAGCTGGCATCGGAGAACTCAAGGGGAAAGGCTTTTAAAATCTCATAAATGGGAGGAAGGCTGGCTTCCCTCTAAGCCAGAATGTCCAGCGATGCTGGCGTATTTCAGCAGCTGTGATCCAAACACATAACTTTTCCACGTTTTCTTGGCCTTCTTATAAGGTGACCCTAAATTCGGTTTAATGGGACATGCTGGCATTTGGGATTTCCTCGACTGAATGCTTTTAGAGGAGCCTGGAGTAGAATTTGCAGAGCAAGTTATCTAAATGACAACAACCTGGATGTTACAGCGCTAAGGTTAAATTAATTGTGATTAGCTCAGTGTAGGAGTGCCAGATCAGCAGCATCTTAAGAGTTGAGGGCTGAGACAAGGGTGGCTGGGGTCCTTGTGGTGTTGGAGGCTATAGAACCCTAACCGGGAATTGCCCAGTGCTCAGCATATGATAGGCTGATGCTTTGAGATATATATAAAGAACAATCCTTGGATTTCAACAGGGGCTCCAACAGCTCCAATCTAGAGCCTAAAGATGACGGTATGGTCAGGATGCTTCAAGACGGATGCTTTAACTGGAGTTTGGGAATTCCAAGTTAGCCAAAGGCAGGAAGGCCACTAAAGATGCCCCAGGCGCTGGATTGCTCTTTAGGTCTCTGGCTGCGGTGACAGAGGCTGTGAGTTCGATTCCCCACTGGGCTACCTTGACATGGTGGACTCAATGATCCATAGAGTCCCTTCTAGCTCTGAAGTTCTATGATGATGATGATGACAACTGGTAGTATCATCATCATCCTTGTTTGGCTTCCCAGCCTCCGCTCTACCCACAAAAAGCAAAACCAGCTTCCCAAAAATTCTTACTCAAGTTTTCCATCCCTCCCTGAAGCTTGCTAAATGCTCTCAGGAGCATCTTTTAACTCTCTAGTTCTAGGTTTCTCTTAAATATACGTATATTCCCCCAAAGGCAGCCACTAAAAAAAAGAAACAGTGGTAGTTCCTCCTCCTCCTCTCTCTCTCTCTCTCTGAAACAGTGCTAGTTCCTCCTCCTCTCTCTCTCTCTCTGAAATGAACTTGCTTTTGTCCTTATAAAACCCTCAGTCTTCCCCCCACCCCAGAGATGTGTGGATGGCTCCAAACTCCATCATCTCCAGCAAGGATGGCCAAGAGCCAAGGTGAGGTGTCTGTAGAGGTTGGTAAGAAGGTAGACTGGAGAGGGAGGATCTAGAGCTTATTTCAAAAAAGAAGGGATGAAAAACCGTCAGCAGAGAGATTTGAAAACAGCCCTAGTGGGCTGCAATCCAGGAGCCACTTTCTTGAGAGTAAGCCCTGTTGCACGTCTGAGTAGAAAGGCAGAAGGATCGTGCGGCTGGGCACCCTTCTGAGGAGTTCTTTCCAAAACCACACAGCCACAAAACCTCCCGATCCTGTAACAACAGCTAGGGTGGCGTTGGGGTATCAATGAGGCCCGCTCTGATCTCACAAAAGGAAGACCGTTCACATTTCCAAGCCTCAAGGGGGGTTTCTTGGAACAGAGACAACCGCGCAAAAATCTCTCACTAGAGAACCCCCAAAACGAAAGCGAGAGAAGATACGGGGGTGGGTGTTCACCTTTCGCATTGCTTTGTAAACAACACATCCATCCACTAAAAAGCAAGCAAGCATGCAAGCAAGAAACCAAGAAAAGCTTTTAAAACCCTGATATCCTGAGTTGGTCCCTACCAAGACACAACACATCACGTTCTTGACCATCCTATTCACACAACCGGTAAGCACATCGGCGTCCATTCTGAGGAGCCAAAGGTTGTTCCTTACCTGGAAGGAGGTCCTACGGGCATCCGAGTCGATAGGGGACCAAGGACCCCTTTGGGCTCTCCAGCTGTTCCCTTGCACCCCCAAAATGCTCCTCCCCTCCGAAAACAGTGGTGGGTAACCGTGACCCAATGGGGGGGTCATCCAGATGCTGAACCTTAGAGCATCAGCCGGCGCTGGCAGACCAGTGAATCTCAAAGGCAAAGGTTTTTATGAAGGGAGAGAGAGAGAGATGGAGCAGCCAAGAGAGAGA